AAGTCTGCCTGTTCACCCCAAGGCAAGGGGCAGCGCCCACCGCGTCTGCGTGCAGCTGGCGTGCAACACGGGTCTCCTTACCAATGCTGGTATCTGGTCACCCCTTCAAAAACACAGAGGTTTATAATTCTTTTCGAAGAGAAAATAAATGGCGGGAATATGTGTGTTCCAGTTCAAAAAGACAGTGAAATCCCAGCACAACTGATCACTCCATCCCAAAGGCAGCTGTCACAAGGTAACCTGTGTGTGACGCTCTAGTGACCTGTGGCGCAGGTTTCTATACAGACCCCGCTGATCAGCTGAAATCATGAATTATGTACGAGGAGTGGCAGAAGGGCAGTGGACGTTAATCGTTTGTTTTCCATGCTCGTCAAAGACCACAGAAAGACGACACACTGTCCTATCTTACGGAGTCTCCTGGAGAAGAACGTGAGACTCCCACCCTGACCCTGGAATGCGGATCATTCTCGTTCTATCAGGGCCAATTAAAGATACAGTTTTATAGCAACTTTATTTTTAAGCCCACCTATTTTCTAGCATTATCTGATGGCATTTCAAAGAGGCGATGCTCTCACTTTCTCAACAGCTAACCTCTGTGGGATTCGAGAAACCCGGTACGTAGAAAGGAAAGAGCTTGGCTCCTGGTTGTCTCTGTGGCGTGATGCCCCCGCCGCTGCCCACACTTACTGATAATCGTTTGCTTGTGCGCCGGAGATCAACGGCTTTCTGACTGCGGTAGGAGGGTTTCCTTCCACCTTCCACAGTTGGCTCTGTCTGGATACGGGCTTGACTGGGGAACAGTGTCAGGGGCAGTGTCTGCAACACCTCCACACTTTATATTAGGCTTGTCTTTTGGATGCTAATGTTTTTTTTCGTACTAGATGGATTGTCCCAGCCCTAGACTGCCCCCAGGTGGGGTGCAGAACTCCAGGAAGACAGATCATAACCTCACAGCTCTGTGCGGGGCACCTCGGGATCATGTGTGGACACGGAGGATGGGGGTACCTCCTCAGGTGACCCCAAAGATCCTTCAAGACCCAGCCTTGTCCAGAGGCCCTGCTTGGGGCGTGCCTTGGCCACATTGGTTTACCAAGAGAAAATATGCGGGACGTACTTGGGGCAAACAGAAAAAGGACCGGGCACTTCCTGCCGATTCAATGTTCTCTTAGGTCTCCAGCCCATGCTGCTCACGACCCCAAGAAAGCGCCCTATTGATGCGACTTTTTTATGGGATGAGGCCAACTTTACCCCTTCTACCCAAAGCCATCAACTGGGCATCCCCAAACTTACAAACTACAAAAGTTACAAACTTAGAAATAAGCAATACTCCAAGCCAAGAGATTTCTTTTGGTCACCCACAGGATAAAAAATCTGCGCCACAGCTGTGGGGCCAGTGGTAACTGAAGGAGCAAGGCCACCCTTTCGTGCTCCAGGAAGCCGTTAGCGAGGAGGAACCCCCAGCCCATCAACTGGTAAAATCAGGCACCGCTAAAAGCCACACATATCGTTGACAATTTCTTCTCTAATGCGTCTTGTGGATCATTTCATTCTGATGTTTAAACTATATGACTCACATTCGCTGGATCCTTGAGATAGTACCGTTCAATTACCTGACATAAATCCCAAGTTCTTAAAATAGACCGCACATGTGAAAAGCAGTCTTGAACTTAGAGAAGACCACTCAACCAGAAACCGGCAAAACCCGTAGACACTGCACAAAACAGCAAAACAGGGAGACACAATCACTTTCCCACTTCCCAGTCCCGGGGAAGATGCAGGGTCACATGTCATGGGCGCATCCCATTAAGTAGTAAATAACAAGGCACTTGAAACTGCTCACCAGGTCATGTAAAATATTTTAGTAATTTGAAAGCTTGTCACTGGGACGTATTTCTTTTCCCAGGGAGTTTTGGGAAAAGTATCATCTAGACCTGAATTATTGGAACAATTGAGCTAATTCCATCTGTGGAAGAGTGTGCAAGATGTATATGAGTCGTGTCGGGGTTTGGAAGAAACGCAGGAGCAGAAAGCAACGTCCAATGTTTCCTGAACATGGCGGCTGCTGAGTCACATGCCATAGGAGGATTTGACACGCTTCTTGATGACGAGAAATTTCATTAGTTATACAATAAAGGTAGGTCAGAAGGGACTGATTTCAGCAGGTCCTCTGAAGGCTTGTTCTCTTAATATCTATGCCAGAATCCACCAATTAAAAATACACAAACGCAGTCAGGAACTCGAGAAAAGCCCGGACTCACTGACAATAACCTTCCCAAAGACAGACACGGTGCACAGAGATGCCGGTGGTCTGGCAGCCCAGGGCGATTAGCTCTGAGCAAATGACATGCGGATCAGGCTGTGGGGGGAGTTTGGAAAAACCGCACAGGAGTGAGCCTTCCAAACAGAACACGTGGTGTGTGTAAATGGCTCAGAAATGAATGACCAGGGCGGGTGCAATATTCTAGAAGCCCAGTCCAGCTGCATTCACTACAGAGGAAGCACTTCCTGCCAGAGCTCAGTGGGAGAAAAGCGTGGCCAGGACAGGGACCCCCAGCCGGGGAAGGAGTCTGCAGGAGGAAACCGGGGCAGCAATGCCCACAGCTTCTGAGTCTGTTCCAAAGCTGGTGCTCATTTGCGGAAATCATTCAGATGAGTAAGACCAAAATTAATGTTCTGACATTACTTGAATGCCAGCTGATCAGAATTCAAGGCCAGTCCCATGGGAACATGAGTGAAATGGGGCCACGTGTAGGCAGATGTCCCAGCTACTCTGGACCCCATCCAGCGTCTCCTCCAACCCAACTCCAACATCATCAAATGGTGGCTCCATGTGCATATTTCTGGTGCCTCGGGAAGCTCGTTTTGTTTTTCAGATCGTGGATACGTGTATGCAAAGACCAACAGAGACCAGCTTGGCTGATCCCCATGGTCTAAACATAAAAACAAAGACATGACACTCTACTCCCTTTCCTGGAGCCGTTGGCCCCGTGAAAGGCACATGGCCACAGGGAGCCTCTGGCCGTGCCGACCGGCAGCCCTGGTCCCCTTCGTCCCAGGGAGGAGCCATCCCTGCATCCAGACAGACCCCTGTCTTGGGGAGGACAGTGCTCACCATCCCCTGCAGTGTTTCTAGAAAGTTCTGTGCTGTCTGCTTGTGATCAGTTGAAATTACAACATACCTGGGCCCTGGTCAGCAAAACGATTTTTTAAGGGGTGCATAACAGGGAGAGACCCAAAGGCATCGACGTGAAAGGAATGGGGACCGCACAGGGCTAACTCTGCAGGTCTGGGTCTCCAACCTCACTGGTCCGTCCTCAGTCCCAGAGAAGAGTCCCATCCCGACTGGGGGTCAGGTGTCAGGCGCCCGGTGCCCAGCGCTCGCTCTCCCTCCCTCCCTCCCCCTCCTTCCCTCCCTCTCTCCCACCTTCTTTTGCCAGGAAGCCACCCCTAAGGGTTGAAGAGGCCGGGATGGGCACAGGCTGAGACAAGATGGCATTTTCCTTCATCACCGTAAACAGGTGTCACCGCGGGAGTCT